CTAGAAGTTTTCTTCATGATATAGAGAGAAGAGAAATGAGATGAATACACTGTGTTATAGATTTACCAAATGTTTTTGTGTTCTTTTATTGTATCTACAGAAGCAGATAAAGAGCTTTGAGTAATTCTAGTTAGTGTTATCAAGCTCCTTTTCTCCTAGTTAACAATGCTTCATCTTTTCATTAGGCGATGAAATAAAACACAACTTCTTGAAAAATATTTTAATATTACTTGATCAGCATAATGTAATTATGGGATAATTAGATGTAATGGGATACATAAAGTTAACCATTCCTGGACCACAGAGAAAGAATACTTATATCTCATAAATCTTATCTCTTTTCCCTCAACATTTTATTCATTCCTTCTCCAGCTGCAACCTAGAAGAAGCTTTCAACGCACCTCAGGCCTATATTACTGCCACAGCTTCTCCAGCTGCCACCAGTCAGCCCATATAGTCTAGGTTAATTTTCTTTCAAAATTCCTTTCACATAATTCCCTCCTCAAAAACCTACAATGGTATCCTACTTCCTATCACATAATATTTAAACTCTTCTAACTTTAAGACTATAATCTGCCTCCATCCTTCCTATCCAACTTTATTCTATAATATTTCCCAAACAGCAGATCCCCTCCCCATAGGATAACTATGAAATTCATTTGCTCTTTCTTAGGGAAAAAGTTGAAAAGACAAGGAAAAGAAAACAGACACTGAAATCCCTAACAGCAAAAGTTTATTTACAGTTGAAGTTAAGGAATAATTTTAATGCATGCTGAGAAATTAGTAATATTCCAAACTTATAGGTTACTATCCAATGAGGAATACAAGATGATGTTGGAAAAGGCTATGGCATACACAACTATTAGAACCAGGTTATCAGAACACACACTATTAGAATCTTGTTATCAGAACACTTACATATCACATACTTTTATGTCACATCAAGTCCATGAACAGCTCATTTTCTAACTTCTCACTGGCTATTTTAGTAAATAGCATTCAAGGTTAAACGTTAAGACTGATGTGGGGAAGAAATACACAAGTGGTAAGCATCACATTTCAGAGCCTACATATATGAATACAACATTAAGATTAATTAAGAAACAGTATTTCAAAATTTTTTGAAACAACATGTGGCAATGTTTAGCGCATGAGGAGACACTGTTTTGGTCCATCCACTCTCTCCAGCTTTTCAAAGTGTTTCCTGGCATTGCGGATGTTGATCAGAGTAGCTGCAGAAGCTGAGGGTAGGGAGGGTAGGGGTGGAGGAGATACCCAACATAATAAATACAAGCAGCCAACGGAATGTTTGACTAGTAAAAACAAATAAATAAACAAAAGAGAGCCAAATCTCTCAAAATAGGTCACAGAGAACATACAGGAATAGGAGGTCCCAAGTTAACTATGATTTAATTTTTCTGAATAAGCAGAAGATTTGTTTATATTTAAATATATTTCCAAAATAAAATTTCCAAATCTTTTTTTGGTTCATTTTTAGAATAAAACCCATTATGTCATGTTGTATTTTAATATTAACCTAAGTAGGAAAAGCCAGTGGATCAGAGATAATTTATTTAAACTTCTGGGAACATCCTGGAAACACTGCTAGAACCTTTATTTCAGTAGTTATGATGAACATGGCTATTATGGCATGGAAGTACCAAATACATCCTTTTATGCCCAGGGTACAAATGTGGGAATATAGTATTTAGGAATATACAGTGACATATAAAATGGTTCAGCATTTAGTAATCCAGAGCTTAGACTGATTAGTCTTTTGAAAATTTATACTATATGAAGCATAAATCATACATATGGGTTCTCTTTTCTTTAAAATCCCTAGATTTAGTACCTTGATTTCTGAAATTTTCATGAAGAAAAAAAAAAAAACAAATCTAAATTATTTTAAGCTTCAAAATATAAGTTTAGTAAACAAAAAACTAGTTATTACTAGTACTAAAATAGCTTTTTTATTGTGGTAAATAATACATATAACAAGAAATTTACCATTCTAACCATTTAAAAATATACAGGTCAGTGGCATTAAGTATATTCCCACTGCTGTGCAACCATCCCCACTACAAGATGTTTGTTCATTATCTAATAAAGTACTACCTCTAGGGCAATTAATTTAAAGAATGAAGCTTTAAATCTATGTCAGCTAAGTTTGAACTTACGAATGGATGGATCAGACATCACGACCATCACATAAGTGTTGGATGTAAAGATGTCAATGAAAGCAGCAAAGTTAGAGTTCCTGACTTCCATGCTCTGGAAAGAAGCAGCTAGCTTGCTATAAGCGAAATGAGAAAAAGTAGTAAAGAACATAAAATAATAGCAATATAAAAAATTCTTACTTTGTATGTTGAACATTCAATAGCATTATACCTTGATTCACCACTTCATTAAGACAGTTAATCACTAACTTCACTTTGTTTTCCAAGGAAACTCTAATGCTAAATTTACTATGTTTTGGAAAGTGACTTAGAAAGTGGATTAGGACTTGACATTGACTGTGAAATGGGCTTAGACCTAGATCCATGTTAAAATAACAGATTACAAAAGATTTCCCTAATATTTAAGAAGTTTAGGTTGAAATTTTCCTATCATTGTGATTAATAACTATTTTTGAATGTTCATTATATTGAAATTAGAGAAATGATCCCATTTCTTTAAAAACAAACAAGGTAATTATATTTGCATGCCATTTGCTATTTCTTCTTAAAAATGTTAGCATAAACATGCCAGTAAGTTTCACAGTGTGCTAAGACATAAAAAGAGTAAACTTATACTTGTTCTATTGTCTGGGCATCAAAGTTTTACCAGGATAAGGATTTTGATTATTACATATTTACTAAATTATAATGTTCAGCCATTCCTTCTTCCTATATTCACAATGCTAAGATTCAAACCGTATTTAATCAAAAGTGAGACAACATGATTAGACATTTCCAGACTGTATTCTGTACCATTCCTGAATCAGTATCTCACTATTTTAATTACTATAGTATTATAGCAAAATTTTTATTTGGTAGGGTAAATTCTCCTTTCTTCTTTTTCAAAACTCCCTTGGGTATTTTCTGTTTATTTCTTCCTACATAGTATCGAATATCTCAAAAGGTTTTTCTGCTTAGATATTTTTCACATGCTTCTTCTGTATCAGTTGAGTTTGCATTAAAGGACAATGACTTTCACCTGAACCAACTGTAAGCTCCCTTAGAGTTTAGCTTTCTTTTCAATTAAAAGAACTACTCTGAACACAGAAGTGCAATCTACTGTGGTTATCTGAACCTCTCAAAAGTGACAACTTTTTCCAGACATAAATAGATCACAAAAGATCTCTTACCTGCAGCTCAGCTTAAATTGCTTAATAATGTTGCTGATTTTCTCAAATCTGTGGGCATCACGCTGCTCTTTACACTGATAGTGAGAAATCACCTATGAAAAAAAGCAATACTCTTAAATATGCAAAGTAGTCATATCACCTTCTGCTACTTAATCCTCAAGTTAGACCTCTGTCAGTTTCTTGGTCACCCTGATTTTCAGGATAGACTTGGCACCCAGACTTACTGTCTCTTCTTCTCTCCCATATCCTGCCAATGTACTGCATAATTTCAACATCCCTATAAATAACCTATACAGTAGTGTTCATTTATAATTTTATTGGACATTAAAATATTACCTATTTTGGTTTCACTGCTGTTATTTCTCATTTATGTTAATTAAATGGTCATCTTATTTCAGTATTTCACAGGATGTTTTTGATTTAAAAAGTACAAATTAGGGGCACTTGGGTGGTCAATCAGTTAAGCATCTGACTTTGGCTCAGGTCATGATCTTGTGGTTCCTGAGTTCGAGCCCCATGTTGGGCTCTGTGCTGACAGCTCAGAGTCTGGAGCTTGCTTGGGATTCTGTGACTCCCTCTCTCTCATCCCCTCCCCCACTCATACTCTGTCTCTCAAAAAATAAACGTTAAAAGTTTTTTAAAAAGTACAAATTTAAAAAAATTAAATATTTTTAGTGGTTCTTCAGATGTACATAACGTACTGATTTTTTAAAAGATTTTTAATGTTTATTTATTTATTTATTTTTTAAAGGTATATTCATTTTTCACACAGAGAGAGAGAGAGAGACAGCGCATAAGTAGAGGAAGGGCAGAGAGAGAGGGAGACACAGAATCTGAAGCAGGCTCTAGGCTCTGAGCTGTC